TCTTTGGAAGCATCAGTCAATGGTTATTCATGTACCTGGGCTATCAGACAAAAGCAAACAAATTCTGTTCTCTTTAACCTCATTAAAACCCTGGTACCAAAGGCACAGTCTGCTCAATCCTCAGGTATGTTTGGAGGTTTGATTGTTTTCTTTTTTCCTTCTTTTTCTTTTCTGATTCTTCAGAAATAGTGTCTTTGGGGGAGGAATTTTTTGAAGAGAGATGCCTAGATAAAATTTTATTATTAAATACATTTTATTTGAACCATGATATGAGCAAGCCTCTTTTTAAAATGCACTTTATGTTTTAATTAATAAGCTTTATTTTAGAGAAGTTTTAGGATTCCAGCAAAATTGAGCACATAATACAGAAAGGGCCTTTATACTTCCTGCCTCTACACATATCTCCCCAACTATTGCTATCTCACACTACACTGGTACCTCTGTTGCAATTGATGAACCTGCATTGATATATCATTATCACCCAAAGTCCATAGTCTACATTAGGGTGCACTCTTAGTGTTGCACATTGTATAGGTTTTAACCAATTGTAAAATAATATGTACCCACCATTATGGTATCATACAGAATAGTGTCACTGCCTTACAAATCCTCTGTGCTCTGCCTATTCATTTCTTGCTTTCCCCAACCTCTCTGGCAAGCACTGATCTTTTTATTGTTTCCATAGTGTTGCCTTTTCCATGATGTCATATAGTTGTAATCCTACAGTATGGTTTTTCAGGTTGGCAACTTACACTACTAAATGCATTTACATTTCTTCCCTGTCTCCTCATGGCTTGCTTGACAGCTTATTTCTTTTTAATGCTAAATAATATTCCATTGTCTGGACATACCACTGTTTATTTACTCATCCAACTACTGAAAGACATGTGCTTTCTTCCAAGTTTTGGCAGTTATGAGAATGCTGCCATAAACATCCATATGCAGGTTTCTTTATGGACATAAGTTTTCATTTGGGTAAATACCAAGGAGCATGCTAGATGGATCATACAGTACGGGTATGTTTGGTTTTGTAAGAAACTGCCAAACTGTGTAAGTGGCTGTCCCTTTTGCATTCCCACCAGCAATGAATGAGCATTCCCATTGCTTCATATGCTCATTAGCATTTGGTGTTATCAGTATTTGGGACTTTGTTCATTCTAATGGATGTGTAGTTTAATTTGCAACAATGAGATACCTCATTGTTATTTTAATTTGCAACTTCCTAATGACATATAATGTTGGACTTCTTTTAATAGGCTCACTCACCATTTGCACATCTTCTTTGGTCAGCAAGCCTCTTTTTAGACAAAGTATGTGATATGGTTTGGCTGTGTTCCCACCCAAATTTTATCTTAAATTGTAGCTGCCATAAATCCCACCTGTTGTGGGAGGGATCCAGTGGGAGATAATTGGATCATGGGTGTGGTTTCCCCCATACTGCTCTCATGGTAGTGAATAAGTCTCATGAAATCTGCTGGTTTTATAAGGGGTTTCCCCTTTCACTTTATTCTCACTCTCTCTTGCCTGCCACCACATAAGACAGGCCTTTCACTGCCATGATTGTGAGGCCTCCCCAGCCACATGGATCAGAGTCCTCTTTTTCTTTATATATTACCCAGTCTCAGGTATGTCTTTATCAGCAGCATGAATATGAACTAATACAGCATACATTCTTGAAATTGTGGATAAAACAAAGTTTTGTAATTTGCATTCCCTTTTCATGGTGCCTTGTACTAAATATTAAGATGATAGCTCTACTTTGATTGCTTACCAACTGCCAATAATGTCAAAACTGTCTGTAATCAAAATTGTAAATGGGGCAAGGCATGTGATAAAGGTATATTATTATAAACAGTGCTTCATAAAATATATGAGAATAGTTACTCATTTATCTAACGAACATGAGTGGTTTCTGTGTGCAATATGCAGTTAGGCATCTTTATGTATATTTTTAAATCTTCAGAAAAGCCCTTCAAGTTATGTTTTATTATCCCCCACTGTACAAATGAGAAAATATCACATATTATACATATTTTTCCTCTGCAAGCCACAGAAAACTTTAATTAAAATGTGTTTAATAAAATGAGAATATCTTGACTCATGAAACTTTAGGATCAAGAACTAGAAGGCCAGGCGTGGTGGCTCACTCCTATAATCCTGGCACTTTGGGAGTCTGAGGTGGATGGATCACCTGAGGTCAGGAGTTCGAGACCAGCTTGGCTGACATGACGAAACCCCATCTCTACTAAAAATACAAAAATTTGCTGGGCATGGTAGTGGACACATGTAATCCCAGCTACTCGGGAGTCTGAGGCAGGAGAATGACTTGAACCCAGGAGGTGGAGGTTGCAGTGAGCCAACACTGCACCACTACACTCCAGCCTGGACAACAGAGTGAGATTCCACCTTTAAAAAAAAAAAAAAAAAAGGAACTAGATAAAGTCAGATAGGGCTTAACCTAGCGCTGAAAAGATATAGCAATAAACCAAATAAACCAGTTAGATTTTCTTAATTCCTCGGATCTGCTTCTCAATACTGGTTTCATTCTCAGGTTCTACTGATGCCAAGATGGTTGCAGCAGCTCATCTTTTTCATACACTCAGTTATTGTCTTCTATAGGAAAGAATACAGGCCCCTTTCCCATGGCTTAAGCTAAAGACTTGGGATAAAGCCTGACTGGGCAAATTAGTTTGGCTTAAATCACTGTTTTATTTAGGTATCTATTGTCCCTGCTGGAGGCTGCAAGGAAAGTTTGATCTCTGTCTTCATGAAAAAGAAGTCCAGGGAGCGAAAACAGGCATTAAGCCATAATTATGCAGATGTAATTACTTACTCACATATTGTTATAAATAGTACAATGCAAAGAGATATGATGTTCTAGGCATGGATTGGCAAATTATGGTTCCTGGTCTCAGTCTGGCCCACAGCTTGGTTTTGTAAATAAAGTTTTATTGGAACAGAGTCATGCTTATTCATGTACATATTGTCTATGGCTGCTTTCTGCTACAATTGCAGAGTTGAATAGTTGCTACAGAGACCATATAGCCAGCAAAGCCAAAAATATTTTTTCTCCGACCCTTTATAGAAAAGGTTTACTGCCCCTCTTCTAAGCACATCTAACAGAAGGAATCGAATCTCAGTGTTCAGGGTGGTATTTCTGAGGAACCAGCATTTAAGGTAAGATCAGTGACTGAAAATTGGGTGTCCAGGAAAGTTTGTGGAGGGGTGGAGGCTTGAGACAAAGTCGGGGGATCTGTATAGTCCCAGGTAGAAAGGACAGCATAAATGCAGGTTCTGAATTGGCAGAGTCTTGGCACATTGAGGAACACAGCAAAAGTTTGCCTGGCTAAGGCATGGGTAGAGTGAATGCATGGTATGTGATACAAAGTGAGAGAGGGGCCAGAAGATGCTGGGCATCAGGCGCCATGCTAAAGTATCACAGAGGAATCCACATGATGGGTGAGAAGCAGGGGTAAGACACAGTAAGATTGGTGTCTTGAAAATATAGTCTAGGCTGCTATAGGTAGAATGGATGGGAAAGGGAGAGGAAGAAGAGCAAAATCGGGGACAGCAACTGGGATGCCATGGCTGTAGTCTAGGAAAGAGATGATGGTGCTCGGACTGTGAATGGGAGTGAGAGGGGAGATGTGGGTACAAGATACAGTTAGACTGGGAGTTTGGTTAGGTGAATGTTGAAGATGACATGCTGGCAATAGGCAGAAGGCAGGTCATTTACTGAGGTGAAGACTTTGGAAGATGAACAGATTCAAGTGACAATGTGAAGACATGAGGAAAGATGATCAGGAGGGGCCTTACTGGTCCTGAAGTGCCATTGCCACAAGTCGAGTTTCTAATTGGGTTGGTCAATGAGAGGAGCTCTTAGTTAAGATCAGCTTAGCACCACAAGCAGGCAATATCATCTTGAAGACAATCTCTTATTGAGGCTTTTGTAAAGACTCTGGGATAGTCTTTCCAGAAATGGTCCAGGACATGAAGTACAGTTCCTCTAAACATCTGTGCACTGCATCAGTCCTCCCCAGTACGTCATGGAAAGTTGGGCAAAACTGTGTACTGCTTTTATTTTCTACCATACCCAAGGTATGAATGAGTAATGCCAACGCCAAGCTAAAATGTCCTTGAAAGGAAATGAAGTTTGTAATTTTTTAAAAGGCCAACTGCCCACTAAAATAGTTTCTGACACATAGGAGTTTTGGGTTTCCTTCCAAATTCGATGTTCTGTGACATTCAAGGCACTGGACAAGATGGGAGGAAACCAAGTGATGTGTTCAAAAGTTATGGTAATGTTCTGGCCTGTCCCCAGATCACTCGGGCATTCTACTTCACTTTAACAAAGATATATTCCAAAGTCAACTAATTTCATGAGCTAGTATAAATAAAATTATTAATAACCTTGCAGTCTTCAAATCAGATAACATGATTCAATTCATGGAGGCATGGCATGCTTTGAATTTTCCATGTCTCCTCCAATTTTCCTGTAAGAATTTAAAGAGTCTGAAAGAAAATATGCCTTTTCAGTTGCTCAATTTGCCTGAAACCTGTCTTTTCAGTCTGAAACAGGAAAGTCTTCATTCTCTCTTTCTCCCCTGTCTTCTCTATGGATGTCATTTTCTTTCATCAGCTCCACTGAGCCCCGGAGCACTGGACACCAGAGGCTCAGCAGCCTGGTGCTGTTCCCCCTGTCCTCAGGGTCACAGAGACACATGCAGGGGAAGCTGTGAAATGATGAGCCTTCACCTGTGTGGGAAGTGAACTGGAAGACTACTGCCAATTGGCGTAGATTATAAGAACTCATTTACCCAGCTCTATTTACATTTCAGGGTACAGTTGAGCCTGTAACATTTCTGTGCCATCAGGTTATTTTTACCCCCGAAAATCATCACTCGTAGCTATTTGCAAGATCAAAGCTGGTCACTATAATACTACTGGGTAGAGTTCTCTAAAACTTATAAACAATGAATACCTCAGTTTCTTCAAAATAATGGAAACAAGAAGAGATAATCACACATGCACAGAGCTAGCCAAGGAGGCAGAGAGAATATAATATACCCCAACCACCCCAACTATTAATAATTCAATATGCATTTACCAAGGCTTTGCTGAGGACACTGTGAAAGGACCTTTGGGACCCACAAATGACCAAAGACCTCATCCAGAACTAACACACGGTACTATCTGATACACAGTGCCAGAGAAGGATAAAGGACTGTGAGAGAGAAGAAGTACGAAGGATCATTCCTTTTGGCCTGGGATGAGAGGACAAAGATGCTGGAAGACTTTGTGAAGGAAGCAGTATTTGCACAGCATTGTCTTGAGAGCTGGGTAAGATTTGGCAATAGGAACAAGAAGGGCAGGGATATGAAGAACACTCTTTGATAGTTAACAAGGACTATAACCAATGCTGGGTAGCTTCAGCAGTGAGGAATTTATTGGAAGGATTTTGAAAGGTCCCATCAATAGGAAGGAACTAAGGTAGTGTGGAAGCTGGAGGGCAGACTCTGCCCCAATTGTGGGGTCAGACACAGGCAGCTAGGGCCAGGATGTGATTCTAGTTGAATCCAGCTGTTTGTTCCACTGCTCAAGGTTCAAATTTCCCAGGAGTGAAGCTTCAAGGGAGCTGGTGGCCTCAAGAGAGGGTGGAGCTCCCAGTGTCAGCCTCAGCCAGCTATCCAGCAGGGGAGAGGAAAAGGAAACTAGGTGCTGTTAGAAAGGGGAAAAGCATGTTGGGCATGTCTTAGCTGTTAAACAGTCTTGCACTTCATTCATCAGAAACTGGGGACATCCCCCTTTTTTTTTCTTTTGTAGCTGAAGGGCGTGAGTCAAGTTATATTCTCATATAATCTGGGTAGTCTGAAGGCACAGCATTGCAAAGGCTCTAGGGTAGGAGAGAGTAGCGTGTGACATTTCCCAGGAACAGAAAGAGGGGCTGGGGATGCTGGAGTGCAGGAGATGAGAAGCTGTGGGCAGACTCAGGCAAGGCTGTCTCAGTCAGGGTAAGACAAGCAGGACCAATAGGATGGTGTAGAGCAAGCAATCGTAGGAGCAGGAGAAATAGACTGAAGATGTGGTTTCTTCTTCAGCTGAGCCTGAAGTTATAGAGCAGGAGATCAGGACCTTGAAGCAGGGGAGAACCCAAGAGGGATGAGCTAGGACCTGCCTCTGTCTCTCACTGAAACCTGCATTGACCTTTTCCATCTCCCAATTAGAAATGGCCTCTGCCAGTTGATTGTCATGTAACTAAGATATGCATCAATGTTTGCCATAGGAATGGTGCCTCCTTACATGTGGCCCTTTTGCAGTTCACAACCTGCATAACCATGCTCAGTGACGCTAATACACACGCATGCACACACACATGCATGCATGCACACACACTCTGTGTCTGAGGGTAATTATTGAAGCATTTAAAAGCTGCATTGCTTTCTCTGCACAACTGATATTGTGCTAAGTGCCCTGGAATTAGCATGAATTTCTCAAAGCAGTCATTTTCTGGGCATTCATCTCTACCATGATGTGAAGGACACTAAACAGGGGCCCTTACACTCCTTCCATGGTTCCAAAATTCTTCTCCACTCGTAATATACCTCAGAGCCTAAAAGGCCAATTTTGCTTCCCATTTTACCTCAAAGCATTCAGAGCCCCTGCTAAATACCAAAGTTTTTATAGAGAAGGTGACACTTATTTACAAACTATTCTACTTTAACTTCAGGTCTGAAGAGGGCTCTGAAAGATTGATACCCAGGATATATAAGCTTCGATGGGAGAAGGGGAAGGAGAGAGAGAAGTGTTTGATGTTCCTTGTTTACCACAAGCAGCTCAGGTACAGGATGTTTGTCAGATGGGAGGTAGAGAGATGCTGAAGACAAATGTCCCACTTGACCCATTTTGCCATCAGTGAGTCCTTGCCAGAATGTACCCTTTAGATGGATTTGTCGCTGCAGACATTCTGACACTTTCAGCTGGAATGGAAATTTATCGAGGATAGAGAAGTAATGTCCAAAGAAAATGTCAATGACAAAAGCAAGTCTGTTCAGAACAAAAAGAGGTGATCCTGGTCCCAGTGTGAAGGACAGACATGGGTAAGTGGAAAAGGTCTAGCAGGGAGACTGCAAACCAGAGTTGGAGAAATACATGACATGGTTCTGACGGACAGAGGAACATTGAGAAAGCATTGAGCCTCTTAAAGGATTGCAGCATAGTCAACAACATGCACGTATCCTGTGGATCTTGCACAAAATCAGCTGTTGCACTGGCTGAAAATGTACCCTTTGGATGGATTTGTCATTCCTAGGTGGAATGGAAAATCCCCATGCCTGGAGGATCCTCCCTGGGCAAAGAGAAGTGGCCACAGAGGCCCTTTAGCGTCCCCCGGCTGTGTCTTATCCTCTGATGTGCTTCCTCCCATCTCCAGGACCTCTCGGAGGCCATCCCATTTACAGTTGCAGTCCCTGGCACCCGTGCCTGTGGAACCTAGGACATTAGCACTGAGTGTCTTTCAATTTTATTCTTTGCTTTTCTTGGCAAAGCTCCTTGCAACAGCCTTAGACAAAAACAGTCAAGATGAAAGCATCTCAGAAGCACTTACACAATAATCCTGTCACTTTCAGACCTAGAAAAGAGATCAGCTTTTCCTGAGAAAGTGACAAGCCACAGTGTGACCCATTGGCTGTTATCAAACCCTTCCCCAGAGCCTGGAGAGCCCTCCATCTCAAGCCAGGTCCCTTGAAAACCGACCCTCAAAACCCTTGTCTAGAAGAAGCAGCTGCAGCTACCTTGGGTATTACAATTTCTCGTTTATTATGTGCTTTTCAGAAGACATTGCCAACCAGCGCCCTGTAATGGATCCTACTTGTGAGTCAATGAACACAATTTCAATCGGTTTCTGCAGATGAAAATGTTAATAACTTTGCACTTTCTCCATGCATGGAAACACGCAAATACACACACTCACCTCCCTCAAACCTAGTGCACATTAGATAATGAAAACAAACAGAAAATTCCTAGCAATATATTCTTGATACATTCTACATCTTCCCAGAAACTGTCATTGCAAGTCAGTACTTGCCTACATACATCTAATAATTTTCTTTTTGAATTGCACAAGGAACCATCAGCAAATGATCACTTTTTGCTTACAGAAGAAAGTCAAAATAGATTCTCTTTTTTTAGGCTTACATCAGAAGCACAATGTTGATTTGGGCGAAAGGCAGCTAGCACATTTTTCCTGATGAGTGTGCGAAGCAGTCAGCTTCGTCTGGAGTTGTCAACATTCACAAGTCAGGATGGAAGAGGCAGAAGTAGACCTAGGGAGGGTGTGTTCCAAAGTCAAGGTGTTTTTTGCTGGAGGAATGTAACCTTCCATGAAAGTAGAGCTTGTGACCCATTCAGCTAATATAAAACCCCCAGTCTTTGGGACCAAGTTAACTTGGTTACAAACAGGTTATAAGTTCCTGGCATCTAGGGTGGATCCCCCAACACACAAAAAAGTGTCACTTTGCCTTTTTGTCTCCCTAACCTATTTCTTCGAGCTGCCATCTCTTTCTCCAGAGAAGCACCTCCACACTCTTGCTTATCTCTGAGCTGATGTTGGATGTGTTACCTGGGCAATAAGAAATGCTATGCTTTATTTTTGCCTGATCCTTAACATTTTTTTTCTTCCAACTTATTTGTCCTTTTGGCTTAGAGGTGGCCATGCCCTGCAGGGTGCATTTACCCTGTTGATCTGTGAGCTATTTTTACCCTTCTCGGTAAGTGCTGTTTTCTACTCTGATGCCAGTCTCAGCCCTGAGGATGGCCCATGGAAAATCATTCTTTCTCAGAAACTTGCTTTTCACATGAGCTGTCTAGTGGGAATCTTGGAGACTGAGAAGTTTGTAGGTTCTCCGGCTGCCCCTCCTCCCTTCTGTAAGGCCCTGCCCAGAGCACATGCCCTGGAAATACGTGACCCAGGAATGTATAAACCCAGTTCAATTCTCCCATTGAGAAGATGAAGAAACTTAGATTTAAAAATAAATAAATAAACAAAATAACTTGTCACACAGAGAGTTGGTGACAAGGATGAGAAATGACAAAAAAGGGAAATGGGAAACAGATCACTATCGATTCTTTCCAGTATCAATTTGTGAGTAGAAACAGCCTATATTGAACAGTCTCCAAATAACTAGAAATGAAAACATAATTAAAGCTTTAATTATCAAATTGTAAAATCTGTGAATAACTGGTCAGACTTCCTTTTTTTTAAGATTTTTTTTTTTCTCTTAATACAAAAGTTCAGTAACCACATAAAAATCGGAAACACGAGTAAGGAAAAAAAACATACTGAAGGAAAAAAAAATTCAACTATACGTTTATAATCCCAAAGAAAACCATTGTCAACATCTTGATGCATTCAAATGTAATCTTTATTTAATATTTTTTTCTGTAAGAATACTTTTTAAGAAAACAGTTGCAACTGTACTGTGATTTTGTATACTTTTTTTATTTTTGCTATTATAATATTTTCCCCCAATTCTCCAAGTTGTTGTGAAATCTTTATAAATAGAATTTATATGGTTGTGTAATTTTTCAGGAAATTGATATAACAGTAACAAAAAGATTCCTTATGATTCAATTTTACATTGTTTCCAAGATAACCTTATGATAAGTGGTATTGCTATGAATATCTTTGTGGGAAAGGGAGTGGATTTCCATTTCTGGAACTTTCTTCCTTAGAATGGATTTCCAGTCGTAGAATTACTGAATCAGTATCAGGTCCATTTTCAAGGCTCAGGTTGTTTGTTATTTGAAATCCACATTGCCAAATTGTTGTCCAAAAGAATAATATAATTTTATATGCTCACTAGCAATATATGAGAGACTGTTTTATCATACCTTAATGAATATTGTTTTTATCACTTAAAAATATTTCCAGCCATGAACTTGTAGTCCCATCTACTCAGGAGACTGAAGTGGTAGTTTGGCTGTGGCCAGGAGGTCAAGACTGTGGTGTGCTATGACGTCACCGGTGAATAGCTACCGCACCAGTAGGTTGACCACGCTGGGCAACACAGTGAGACCCTGTCTCTAAATAATAATAATATTTCCTAATATGTAAAGTAAAAAATGATATATTTGAGTCGCTTTAATTTCCATTTTCTCGATTCTCTGTGACGCTGAACCTTTTCTCATTTAAAATACTGGTCATATTTTTATTATTTTCTTTTTTTCGAGCTGCAGTTTCACTGTGTTGCCCAGGCTAGAGTGCAGTGGTGTGATCTCAGCTGACTGCAACCTCCACCTCTTAGTTTCAAGCGATTCTCTTGCCTTGACCTCTCGAGTAGCTGGGATTACAGGTGCAGGCCCCAGCATGCCCAGCTAATTTTTGTATTTTCAGTAGAGACAGGGTTTCACCATGTTGGCCAGGCTGGTCTCGAACTCTTGACCTCAAGTGATCCACCTGCCTTGGCCTCTCAAAGTGCTGGGATTACATGCATAATCCACCACACCCAGTCTATATTTTTATTATTTTTAAAATCTGTGTGTGATCTTGCCTGTTTTTCTGTTAGAATATTAGTGTTTTTGTGTCAATTTATATTAATTTTCTATCTATTATAGATACAATTTTTATATTTGTTGCAAATATACTTTTCCAATTTTTGCTTGGCTTTTTAAAACCTTCATAAATACAATAAATTGCACACAAAGTGCAAAATTAGATGAAGCTGAACCTACATCATCAACACGATCAAGACAATGAACTTATTCATCACCCCCAAAAGTTTTCTTTGGCTTGTTCATTCCCCATCCCCAGGTGGCCACTGATCTGCTCTCTGACACTAAGCTTACATTTTCTGGAATTTATTTTGGTGAAATCATATAGCATGTACTCTCATTTTGTTGATCTTCTTTCACCTAGCATCATTAATATGGGGTTCCATCACACCGTTGTGTCTAACAATAGTTCATTCTCTTTTTTGTTGCTGAGTAGTATTCCATTGTATGGTTTTGTCAGTTTATTTATTAATTCCTCTGTTGATGGACATTTCGATTGTTTCCAGATCTTTGCTACTGCAAATAAATATGCTACGAGCATATTGTATAAGTCATGTACAAGACTTCATGTGGACATGTGCTTTTGTTTCTCTTGGATAAATAATACCTGGTAGTGGAATGGCTAGATCATATAGTAAGTGGATATCTAATGTTTTCAGAAACTGGCAAACTGTTTTCCACATCAGTTGTACCAGTGTATGAGAGTTCTAATCTCTTCACCTCCTCACTAACATTGGGTATAGTCAGACTTTTAATTTAGTCATTCTAATAGGTGTGTAGTGGTATCTCATTACAGCTTTGATTTGCATTTTTCTATTGTCTAATGATGTCAGCCTTTCTTCATGTGCTTATTTGTCACTGTATTTCTTCTTTGACGAAGTATGCTTCAACTCTTTTGCACATTTTTTGTTTTTTTTTTTAATTATTGAGTTCTGAGGGTTCTTTATATATTCTGTATACAAGTGCTTTATTAGATATATAATTTGCAAATGTTTTCTTCCAGTTCATGTCTTCTTTTTTCCATTTCCTTGGCAGTGTCTTTTGAACAGCGAAAGTTTTAAATTTTGACTAAGTCCAATTTATCAATTGGCTTCTTTCTGAATTAAGCTTGCCATTACATCTAAGTATTTTTTGCCCAACCCCAGGTTACAAAGTTTTCTCCTATGTTATTTACATCAAAGTTGTATAGTTTTAAGTTTACATGTCTTTGCAAATACATATCCAATTGCTCTGACCCATTTAAAAAAGAAATTATCCCTTTGTCACAGTATTGCCTTTGCACTTTTATTGAAAATTAGTGGTCTGGATATGTGAAGGTCTAGCTCTAGACTCTATTCTATTCCATTTATCTCTTTTTCTATCTTTATGTCAATACCACTGTGTCTTGGCTACTGTAATTTCATATGTCATAAGTCAGGCAGTGTTAGTACTCCAAAGTTGTTGTTCTTTTTCATAGCTGTTTTGGCTAATCCAGATCCTTCATGTTTTTATATGAACTTCTAGAATAAGCTGGTCAATTTCTACAAAATCATCTGCTGGAATTTTAATT